CCAACAATCTTATGGATAAAAACTAAAATTAATTCATTTTACTCAATAACCTGTAATATTATATATATATATATTAAATGTTTATGAATTTTATACTATTTATATTTTAATTGAAGTCTGAATAAGTTTTAAATCAGAAAGAACCTTTTTTATATAGATACCTCATCTTAAGATTGAACTAATTTTACTAATTGTTTCAACCTACGAGTGTAGAAGTGGATAAGCAATTGACTGTTCTGTACACTTTTTGGACGCTTACCTGGGTAAGTTAATTGATTTATAGATTTATAGATTTATTATATTTTGTTGGTTGTATACAATTGCAAAATTTGTATAATTTGGCAACAACGAACAATAATAAAATTAATTTAATGTATGAAATCACATGTTGAAAAGGTAGAGACGATGAGCAGTGAATTTTCACCCAAAGTTAACTCGAACCTCTCCAATAAACAAACGAAATTATTCATTATAGTTCACAAATACGTAAGAAATATTTAAGTTTATTTTATATTGATTTTTAATGTTGTTATTTTTTTATTTTGCTTTTTACCAACGACCATTGAATAAGGCACAGTTTAAAGTTTTCTACCGTCTTTTCATATTTTCGCAGACGTTCGGACGCCTGGACCTACCTTATTATAATATATCATTAAACTGAAAGCTAGCACGCGTTATAAAAATTATATTTAATCAATAGTAACGAAGACATTTTTTTAACACATATATATGAAAAAACGGCCAGAAAAGTAACGAGTTACCAAGCTCAAAGTCACCGTCTATGGTCTTGTACAAGGCGGCAGCAGCGGTCATGTCCTGCATCATCATGATGTTGTCGAAACGTCGCAATGCGGGGACTGCCATCGCGATGATCGTGATCTGAGACGCAACCGTTAATCATTGACATTATCGTGCCGACGGCGGCGGTCGCAGAACGCGTACTGCGGCGGCAGCTGATGCTCGCCGACCGGTGGCTGGCGGTGCATTTTCGTCGTCGCGATACCGCGGCGGCGGGCGGGCGGCGCGTCAGACGATTGCGACGGCGATGTTGGTGGTGGACGGCTACGGCCGCGGACGACGACGTACGTAGCGGCGTTTGAGACGCGACGACCGCCGGTCGGACTAGACGCAAAGACGACGACAGTGACGTTTTGGTGCAGGCGGCGGCGGACCGCTTATTATAATAATATTAACATCATCGTTGTGCCGCGTACGGCCTACGCGCCACCGCGTGAGGGTTTGGCGGTGGTTCGGCCGTTTTGTACGTCATTTTAATAATACCTACGATATTCGTATGTATGGAAAATGTCCTCGTAACGGTCTCTACAGGAGGAGAAGAAATTTTTTTCACAAAAAAAAAAAAAAAAAAACGATTTTTTTTTCCGTCCCCCCGAAAGAAATCGGTCCGATTTTTTCGTCCGAAGATCAATTGATGCGCGCGACTATGCACATTCGAAACAACCAGACGAGAACGGCAGCAACGACGACAACGATGCGGACAACCCGAGCGCGGCCCATTCACTGATTGGAGAAAAGATCTGCCGACGCTGCCACCACCGACGCGCGGTCACCCAGTTTATCGAAGTTGTCGTCGTCGTCGTCGTCGTCGTCGTCATCGTTAACGGCAGCGGCATGCATTCGACCGCCCCTACTATATAGTGTAACGTTCCAACCGCCCCTACCCGCGGTACAAACCTTTTGACTGTTCATTAAAAAAAAAATCTCGACCGACCGACCGACGCAAACTCACTCTGCTTCATTCCATTCAGCACAAATAATGCGATCGCCTAATAATACAAACGCGCGAATCTAAATTATTCGTGTAATATAATATCTATACACGATGATTCATCGTGCGTGCTCATCCCAATTTTTTTTATTTAATAATTTATTTATTCAAATTCTAATTGTTTTGATTTTTTAAATATACCTACCTATGATGGCCATATTTACAAATTCTCGAGATTTTTATTTACTATTCTTAAAGAATTTCTCGTGGTAATACAAAACTTCTATTTTTAAAATAAAAAACCCCTCCCCCTTTTTACAATGAATTATTTAGTGGATAATCTTATTTTAAATGTTGATGTACCCCTTTTAAAATTTTAACAAGTGGTTTTCCAATTATTAAAATGTGTGTATTAAGAATAATAGTCCTTAAAAATGGTTTCACAAAAATATAAAATAGATATAATAACAGAAATCTAGTATTTATTGTATTTAGAGCATTCTTACAAATTAAAAATTTCAACAAATTAATATAAATTACTAAAATTTTCAAATTATTATATCCAATATATCTCCATTATATCTTCCAATTAAAAACTTCAAAAATAATTTAATTATTAAAAAAAAGAATGGACAATGAACAATGAACACCCACTTGTATACTGTACAAACGACAATAACTAGGTATATAATTATATTATGATATATTTTATTAATTATTATTATAGACGTTAATATGATAGTATTTTCGACAGTGTCCGATTAATATAGATTAATAAAACATAATAAGATCGATATAGTGTTACGCATAATATTATTTACAAGCGTCTCTCCCTTTTCTTCTTACGATTTCTTACATTATTTTCGAGGTGGAATAACATTATGTCCTAAGTAAAATGTATACTTATTTCTGCATAAAACTAGATTTTCGAAAGGGTTATTTTTTTATTTAATATAGAAAGCGAATAAACAAAAACAACTTCTAAAATTATTATTATTATTTATTTTAATTATTTTATATAATATATTATATACCTAAAATTTGAATGACAATTTCATTATACCTATATCAAATTTTAGTTAAACAAATATACAAAATAAGAAACCAGATAGGTAGTTACAAAATTATAATGCTTTGACCATTAGTAAATAACGTCTTATTAGCATAAACATAGCATATGTACAATATAAACTATATGTTATGTATCTAAGTATACATTATTCATAATGTATATAATACATTAATATAGGTAGCCTATACTCGGTAGATTTTTTTGTACTTAATACATATACACATATCTAATTGAATGATAACAAATGTTTTTTTATTAATTATCTATAAGTCTATTCGAAGCAATGGATTGTTATAGAGTCACGTGCAATATGACAGACATACACTTGTCTAGGATTTTCCAAACTTACAGAATTTTGATACATTAATACAGTCAATTATAATTTCGAAAAAACCGATATAGAAGCATTTTAAACGACTGATTACTACAAGGAACCAATGATTAATATAGATAATTTAGGGCATCTTATATCTTGATGAGCCAGTAAGCAACCATGCGTCCAATAAAAAAGAAACATGCACACCGCATAATGTATCAGACCTGAGGTGATCAAAAATTATTTTGCAACTACATAATACACAATCATAAGTTGCGGATGCAAAAAAAACAATGAAACATAAAGATAAAAGAGAAAAAAGATTTTTTCTTCAGAAACGTAGTCGTTTCTTAAGACTAACTGATACAACACCCATTCAACACTAAGTCAACAATCACCTTAGTTATGCTTACCGCAGTCAGACTACATAGATTTAAAACGAATTTTACTGATTTATGTTTCAATTTAGTTCACTTTTATACCGGTAAATTTCATAAAAAAGTTTTAAAACTCTGTAAAATGTACACCCACACGACGGAACCCAATAACCTAGACACCTAGTACATAATTCCACATCATTATGACGGCAGATTTGCGAAATAGCGAGTAATCAACATCAGACTTACGTCAAAGTCATCACCATAGTTATCCGCGTCTAATTCACGACGATTTTCGATCGAACTATTTTCGTATCATCATCCGCAAGTGCGTATTATATGTACTTTATAGTAATGCCAGTGTAACCTTTTGGCGAAAAAGTTTCGAACAAGACTTCAAAATATGACCGTACTACCATAGACTGAAAACGATGTATATTTTAATTAGATTATACGCCAAAAACCTCATATAAAGGTAAGATGCAAATAAGTCATTTTATATTATTTATAGGTTTTTTATAGAAATAGCGGAAATTTTATATCTATGCATAATATTATATATTATACATATATGTAAGAACGCGCATTTTAAAGAATTATAAAATAACATGAGCTTCCTAACTTTTTATTAATTAGTTTTTATTATATAACTTTGGACATGCGGAGAAGTGTGAATGTATAATAAGTATGCATATAATACTTTTACTAGTAAAAAAATAAAATTATGCATAAAATATATCAAACAAATGTATTATAATATGTTATACAACTTCGATAGTTAGTTAGATTTATAGAACTTATTTAAACACATTGTTATAAATCATGAATGTTATAATATTCTGGTTTATATACTGTCAGAAAGAATTAATGTTTAAACGCTTTGCCAAAAACTTTTAATTGCTTAAAAAATAATAGTTTTTTTTAAACAATTTTAAGTTCATGTTTGATGTCTCATAATCTTTATAAATTTTCTACAAATATCGCGATTTCTATCTAAATATTTTTGTAATTCTGTTTTAAATAATAGTAATTTAAGTAACGGGTTTTCTTTAAAAGTATATATAGAAATACATGAATAACTTTTAACAATATTATCATGATTATTCGCCAAAAAAAAAAAAATAAATAATAATTCCCAAACATAACATAAAAACAAAAACCAGCCTAATCATTTATGTAAATAGTTATTAAATTGTTATAGTTATAAATATTAATTTGTAATAAACTGTTTAAAATAAGTTTTTTCACACAAATAGAAATTATATAATAATTGATCAATGTAAAAGTACAATATGAATTTAGTGTCTTATAAACAGTGTACATGATTAAAGACAATGTACATATGAAACATTTGATTATATTTACGTTATATTTTTCCTACCTTATTTTTAACAAATAAATATTGACCTTTAATAAACTATTAATAAATTACACCCGCATAATAATATTATCTTCATAAATTGAAGGATTGACAAATAAATTATTCATAATAAAAATTATACTCACTTGGAGTATAACCATATTCATCCTCTGGTTCTGGATCAGCGTCAATTTCTACTTTTGATCTTTTAACATTACCAGCACTAGACCGCATTATCTAAAAATAGATTTACATTATATTCTGTATTAGGTACCTATATGAACACACATTATATTCAACGTGACTTTTTTGTAAAAAATAAAAAGTGGAAACATATAATATACATTAAAGTTTTAGTCCATATTATAGCCCAAAAATATATTTTAACTGCATAAAAAATGAATAACCATTGTAATTAAAAAATGATTCAGTTATTTCCATGTAAAATTTTATAATATTTTGAAATTAATTAAAATGACAACTTTATTATACGTTTTACATATAGTAAAATAAAATAATAAATAATACTGAAAATAGGTATACACATAAATGATACCTATAGTTAAATTGAAAAATAAATTTTTAATTTAATTTAAGTGATATATAGTAATTAACAAGATATTTATTCATTGTCTTACTTCTTGTCCTGAATGAATTCTAACGCGGCCTTCATTATCTCTGTTATCGTCATCTTCTTCACTATCTTCACTTTTATTAGATTTGATAGATTTTTTACGGTCGAACGAACTCAAAGTTTTAATAAAAGCTAATGAATTCTTGCGAAGCGGAATATTATCTTCATTAACATATTCTTCACTTTTCTGTTGCCAAGTAGAAATCCTCTAAAACGTAACAATTATAAAAAAATCTCATATTTTATAAAAATATTTTTTTCTCATTACATTTTTTACACTATTGACAGGTTTCATAGGCTCCTGTGATACTTTAAACGAATCTTCAATAACAGATGATTTTGACTGTTCATATTGATCTTCGGACTAAAATAAATGTAAATAAATTACTTACCCTAAAAATAAATGTTGAAAACTTACCCAACATACAAGTGATTGTACGAGAAAAATAACTGGGTTACCAGCTGAACGAATTATTGCAACGGCTTGTTCGTGATTAGCGTGTCGAACATCAGTCCCATTAACTTCTAATATTCTATCACCGGTCTATTTATGTTACAAGTATAAATATTAACTTAACCATAAGACATTAAAAGGTTATAGAATATTTACTTTTAATTGACCATCTTGACCTGCAGGACTTTGAGGAAGTACATTTTTTATGAATATACCTGATATAGCTGCGCTATTATTTGTATTAGTACTATTGAAAAAATCAACCTAAAAAAATAAACCGTCTCAAAAAAACATTTTTAATGTTTTATACATATCTATAAATATATCTAACCTTTCCTCCAACTATACTTATTCCTAAGCTTTTATTTGGATCTCTCCGAACTATTACTTCTCGTTGAGGACCCCAATGTTTAGCCAACAAGGAAGCAGCTGATTGTTGCCCAGATACAGTCATAGTGAATACGCTTCCTTCACTTCTATCTAAGCCAATGCCAGTACTTGGAAACCGATAAATACGAGTTGTTGGACCATCAAAAGATTCAAATTCAGCACTTCCCAAACGTAATACATTTTTGTCTAAAGATGTATAAGCTTCCTCTTCGGTGAGTCTTTCTAACTCTTCAGTTTTAGCTTTTAATTGATTATCAATTTCATCTTCATTTAAATTTGATGATATAGATATACTTTGAGTAAATTCTGACAATCTATCAGTTTCTTCGCGCAATTTTTCATCTAATTTCTTAATAAATTGATCACTAGTAAACTTTGCGCATACGTATTTGTCACTAGTTTTGAATACCTTATAATAATTGATAACGTTTTCAAAACTCACATCATTTATTGGATCAGTTTCATTCCAACTCTTTGTTCGTTGAATTGAATGACATTTAGTACATATAACACAATCGGATTTAGATTTTGTTGATTTGGCCAATTGCGAACATGAATTGTTAGACTTAGATCTAGAAATTTTAGGATGAGGTTTCTTATTAAGTAAACGATCTTCAGTTTCACGTAGTTCGACAAATGGTGATCTGTTAATAAAACATTCAATACACATAAATTATATACATTTTTTTTAAATAGAAACTTTTTATCATAATGATCAATTAATAATTAATAGCAATATTTATAATACTCAATAAACACGTGAATATATTGCCAATGGTTTATGAAATACTAGAACCGTATAAAATACTATTAAACGTGCAATTTGTTAACCATACATTTTACAATAAAAATGAAATATAGATAAGTAACTATAATATTTATACTTAAATAAAAGTATAAATATATAGTTCAATAAATAGTTAAACAAAACAAACTTATAATATTTTTTATGCTTATACCTAATATTTACATTTAAATGATTGAAATATTATATAATTTTTTGCATAAAAATTCTTAGGAGATAATCAAAAAAAATAATCAGTGAATATTAAATACCTATCTAATATTTTTACTTTCTAGCAAAAACCAATTATAAAGGCAACGGATGAGTTAAATATTATCACTCTCTATAAAGAATATATACTATCTGCTCGTATGTGTTGTCTACGTCTTACAAACGCATATCATGACAAATTTTAGATTCAAAAAAATGTTTTACTCTGGTATTTTAAATATTTAAGTGAATTGACATATTGTTAAATTAAAAAATAATAAGTTAGGTATAGATTGTCCAGGATTCCAAGTTTTTATTTATTTATTATTTTATTAAAATAAATGTCAACCAGCGATTACAAAATTAACAGTTAAACATATAAATTTAAATAAGAATAAATCCAATATAAATAATGCATATACTATAATTAAATAAAATAAAAAAAAGAATAACAACAAAAATCATATTAAAGTATTTAATTAGACGAAGATAAAACGTATTGGGTGACTTAAAGCATTCTGTAAATGAAATGATTGCGGTGTTACTTTAAGAACATTATTTTAAAATTTAAAAGTTCTTATATTTAATAATATATCAATTCACTCTAATTTTAAAAATGAAAAAATAAAAATGATTCTTCTAAACGTAAAATGTCCTATGTTGTGCATTTGTAAGACGAAAATAACACATGCGATTACAACATTCTCAAATAGTATTTAAAAATTGTAAATAAACAGATGATAATTTTGACAACAAACCCTCCTTTACAGAAGTACTTACATAATTTATAATTTGTAACTAGGCCTCAAATTTCAACCAAAAAAATAAGGTGGTACATAAGAATAATGGGTTATATTATTACTTGTAACTTATAAGTTTTAATAGTGTGTGCTATTATTAATTAATTAATTAGTTATTTAAATATACGGTGAGTTAAAAGAAAAATCAATTATAATGATGACAATAGATGATTTATTAACCTTACAAAAATGTAATTATTATTTAATTAATTAAAAAATACGTACAAGCTACAAACATATTATATCGCAAAACCAATATACGTATTTGACATAATTTAAATATTATTATACACTAAAAGTTATATCAATAAACTATATTAATAAAATATAAATTTTATTACATTGAAACTTATGTTACACGTCTACACTAAAAATAAAATCAACATAATATGTAAGTGGTACCTATACGGGCACTCAACATTTCAGCCGAATCCAAACGTTTGACAGTCAAATAACTAAAAGGCCGACATAACGAAAATTCTACGATATAAATTATCATATCGATAAAATTTTCCTCTTAGAAATGTTTTACTGTAGTTATTGAGAGTACCTCATTATTGATTAAATTATTATTATTATGGATATGTTCTTAATTTGAATTCAATGATAAATAATTTATTAAACGAAACATAACACTCGAGGAAAATCGGGTTTATCAGCATATATTTCAATAAGTCAATTATAATTTATAAGGATATACTATTTTTTATATTCTATTTATATGATTATTATTATTTTCTTAATTTGATAAATTGAACTAATTGCAAAACATCGCGTCTATCAATAGACATATATATACATTCGTGGTATAGAGTGTAGAAAATTAGTTTAATAGAACACAATATAAGTACAAATACTTTAAAAATTTCATTGTGTATAAAAAATAATAACATACGACGTATATTATACAATGGTCTACAATCTCTATACTTAATATATTTGTTCTTTTAGTTAGTGTCATAGCATGAAATTTGGTAGCCCTAGAGTCTATAAGAGGTGGAGGTCCCTTTAAACATGAAAATTAAATTATTAAATAGTCAAGTGTCAGAAAAATAATGTATACATAATAAATATAGGTACATATAATTGTTTTATTACTTTTTTATTTCATGATAAACGTATTATTTTCTTCCAACTTAGGCATAACTGAAAAAATGAGATCCTGGACATCTTAGTGTAAATAAACCACTGATTAGAACAATATCATTAAAAATTATTCAGAATACCTCAAAATCACTTGAAAAAAAAAATATATATATATATATATACATATAAATATAAGGAGTTTTGTTTATAAAGTTTAATATTCAAGAAAATATAATCAATTCTAACATTTAAAAGTTCTATAGTCATTATATCTATTTATTTATTTATTCACGAAGAAAAAACTACATTTTCTAAAAATTATGTATTAATATAACAATTGTAGATACAAAATGAATTATTAATATGTGAGGACACTGTACAGTATAAGAATAATTTTGTACAGAATGCAAGAAAGTAAAATGAAAAATAATTATTATTACAATGAATATAAAAAAAGTACATATTAAATGATGATTTAAATATTTAGAGGAGAGTTAAATTTCTTTGATTATTTCTTTCTAAATGACAACAATAAAAAGAAAATTATTTTACAAAAACTAGTATAAAATAAATATTGTTGTTGTAAATAGATTTATTAATTTTTCAGAGTTATTAAAATTAACCAAATTCAACTTGAATTATGTGCAAAAATCAAAAGTTAAAATATATTTTTTTTTTAAATAATTTTAAATTAAGTTGGTTTAAAAAATGCTAATCATAACCCTTAACTAGTTAACTATAGTACCTATACATAAATAGGGTTTCATTAATTTAATAATCATGCTAAGACAATTCTACATACTATATTTACTCACGCTTCAATGTAACTAATAAATTTATATTTTAATAATATAATTTATAAATAAAAACTTTGAGCATTCATACAATATAAAATAAGAATATATCTTATATTATACATGAATATATCATATAGGAACCTTGAATCTGTTTATTTATAATAAAATAAAATATAATCTGGTTAACGATTTACAAGATTTTACATGAGTAATTTATAGGTACTAGAACCAAAAATTCTAAAAAATGCATTTATAAACTTTATTTTTTTCTTAAACATTTGAAGTTTAAATTTTGATTAAATTTAACATTTAAATGAAAAATAATGAATTTATTTTGCTGTAATTCAAACATAGGTACTTTTTTGGGGGATTTAAAACTTTTACATAAATTATTATATTTTATTTACACAATGATATTTTCAAAATATTGTTATGTTATTGCCTATTTATAGTTTATATTGTATTATTATTTTAATAATAAAATGAATGACCTATAATAATTAATAGCATTATATTAATATTATAAAAAGCTAAGAGTCTAACTAAACTCATTATTAATTTTTATATAGAATTTATCATTGAAAAGGTATATTAGATTCCTACTATAGACCAAAGCAGATACCTACTTTCCCCTTTTTACTCTTATGTTTGTTTGGGAACTCATTATCGACTTTTAGTTATAAATGGTAATCTACATTTATACTCACAAAATCTAGAAAAAAATACTATTCTAAAATGTTGATTTTTATATAATAAATATTAATTAACACTAAGTAAAAGCATTTCATCAATTACTATGTACTTAAAGTATAGATGAGTGATGTGGTATCTCAAAAGATTTGAGGTCCACTATTCTAAGTATTTAACTGTTAATGCATGTAAATTATAAAAAATATTGATAACTAAAATATTGTAGTTTGATATACTATGATCTGTATTTATTCATCAATATTTTAAAGACAGTATTCTACTTCAGATAAATAGACTAAGTTAAAAATATAGATTGAAATTTGAAAATATAAGTTGATAGTAGGCTTGCCAACATAATAAGAATGAAAAAATAAGTGTGATTTATATTGTTTGAATTAAATGCATTTTAAATCTTTTCTTATGAAAAGAAAATCTTTAAAAAAAAAAATTCAAATACCTTTCAATGTAAAAAGTGTTTAATGTTATACAAAAACACTCTATAAAAGGTAACTATAAATCCTAACATGTCTATAAAAAATCTTTAAATTTTAATTAAAATCTAATTTATCCATATTATAGTAGACAAACATATAATGCTGTATTATTAAATTATATCAATATTATATTATATATGGATGTATAATATATATATTATTAAATATAACTAGTATTTCAGTGACTACTACATAACTAATTATAATAATAATTTTTTCATGAAAAAAATAGAATTATAATTTATCTTATTCAATAAATAACTAATTTAATAAAACAGTATTGCTAAAATTATTAAATAATTCAATTATATCAATATAAAATAATGACCTATAAATAAAATATGTATTATAATTTGTAACATATTACTATCTACAAAATTTACAAAAAGTAAAAGGGAAATATAACTTAAACGTTCGCGAAATAGATCATTCTCACTTGTAATAGACAGGTAATATCCTTCATTAAATGCAAAAATATAACAATAAAGGAAATCAATAAGTATTAAATAGAAAACATTATTAAATTATAAAATCAGCTAAATTTAATTCAGTATTTAAAAAAATTTTAAATGTGAAGTTTATATTATGGTAAATGACAAAAATTAAGAATTATGTGACACCACAGTAAATACCAAAATATCAAGTACTTATCATAAAAATGAGAATTTTTGTAATATACTGGTCATTAACTAACTATACTAGTCAAATAATTTTTACCAGTAGATAATAAATTATACACAATATAAGTGTTAGAAAAATAACTAGAATATTTATCTTAGTGTTCCTTGATATTAATATACCTTTTTTATTAAACAAATTTTCAAATTAAAATTATAGTATACCAGTCATAAAATACTATAAAATAAGATTTGTGATATTTACCAAGGTTTATGTATCATTTATTGTTATTTATCATAATATATTTACATAAATAAAAAAATACTTACCTAGGAGTACATAGAGTTACACTGGGTACAGTTTTACTTCGGATTATACAGGTCTTCTTAACCGCCTCTGCACGTACAAAACGTACACTGAAATAGCATAAATACAAATAAAAAAGGTTATATTGATTTTCATTAGAAACTAATCTCATTAAACCATTAACCAGATTATAAATTATTTGTTTTTTTTATTTGTATTTATATGGCTTCACTTACGGTATATGGCCTGTTAGTAGATTAGCTCTAGATAAAATTGATTTCACTTGGGCTGGTGACACATACTTCAATGATTCATTATTAACAGAAATCACTACATCACCAATTTTTAGCCTGCGATCTCGTTCAGCAGCACCATATAAGTTTTCAATTTCCAAACCCATTTGATCGCTAAATGAACGTCTACGGAGATTTATGCCCAATGGTGATGAGCCTTTAGTAAGTGTAATTTCTTGCACATCTTGTACATTATCTGTCTCATCCATTGAACATATTTGTTTAAAAGTTTCATCAGCTTTCTATTTATAATAACAAGTTCATGAGATTGGATTTAATTTATATTTTTTAAACATTTGACTAATGTATCACATAAAATTATTAGTTTTTACTGATATTTTTAAGTATTCTTGAACGTTGATACAAAATAAACTTAATGAGCTAGACAAATTTAGAACTTGCCTTTACATCATCGAAAATGATAGGTGATTCAGGGCAACTGTACATTGAATAGCTATCTTCATCATCTTCATCATTGCTCATTTTTATTTCTTCTGAGCTATCATCCTAAAAAAATATAGAACTCAAGTATGAGCTTCTTAAATCGCCAACATTTTATGAGACCAATCTCATTTCATCTGATCTACATTCACATAGTAGATAATTAAATTGTACTTCAATTTAGATATATACCATTATTTCATCTAATTACTTGAACTGAAGAATGGAAGAATTCAATATAGCAATTCATAATGTCCAAATATAAATACTTCAAGGTTCAAGTCATATAAAATATATCATAATGAAGTAATGATATACCATTATGTATAGAAGGAGAAAGAATTGATAGGAAGGAGCAACAAAAACACAAATGCGCCATCCATGAGCCACATTGCCTCTTGGGTAAATTTAGTCTAACATTCGCACAATTTTTGAAAAACCTATGGCAATGTAACCACGGTTTTAGAGTATTTGTGTTTTTATCGACTTGTGCAAATAACAAAAACGCATTTTTGTTTCCATTTTCTTCCAAAAGTTGCATTTAATAAAAATAAAAAACAATATAACAAAAGAAAGAAATCGTTATCTAAATAATTATACTAAACTTAAAAAACTTAAAGAAAAATAAAAATGTACTAAAAGTGTATACGAGCGGCGACATGGACTGGCAGTTGTGTTTTTCGCTTCAACTACATTTAACTTACTATATAAATTTATAAGTATACATATATATTATAATGTTTCTAAAAAGTTTTGAAACCCTTGTTTTGCAGTGAAGATTACTTCACTTATAATAATTAAACATTTACATTAATTTAGACAGAACAGTGACTTCTGTTTATATCACTGCATATAATAATTGTATGTAATCAAATCAAAAAGGGCTTGTGAACTTTCTAGATACACTGTATACACATATGTGATACATTTCAATATAAAATGCAATTATATTTATAGATATAACCAAACACCCGAAATTATAACTTAATATAAATATTGCATTAATGTTTTAAAGAATACTTTGTTTGTAATATTTTTATCAATTAATAAGGCACATAAAATTATTATATGAAAATAAATAAAATAAAATTGTTCAAGTGATATTAATAGTTTTTAAAGGCATAGAAGAATGAAGAAGTGCAAGAGTGCTCATAGAACTATAAAGGACATTTAATAAATTGGTACTTAATAAAATATGTTTTATTGATATTTATATATCTTATCTTCTTTCAAAGTAAGCTCTATGAGTATTCTCATAACATTTCTTCATTTTGTTTTATATTTTAGTAAATCATTAACAACTTGTAGCTACTATTATTTTTTAACTACAACTAATTAGTGATTAATTAAATGATTAAATAAAATAAAATGGACGGTTAAATTGTGACGATATCAGGATGAAGAATTTTTTTTTAAATAATAAGTTGATATTTATAATTCACAAGAAACGTAATAGGATAATAATGAAATATGTTATTGTTATAAAAAAATTAAATATCGCCACAATCATTAAGGAATAATATAATTGAGTCAGAAGCTCTCCGACTTGAGCAGATTAGACGCCAACTGTTGAACAGATGACTCCTGGTCGACATCATTGTAGAATTCGCCGCGACGTTGCGTGAAAGATTCATCTGCACGTGCCTGTTCTGAAGGTGAACTCACCTGACTGCTACTATCTGGTATGGGTAGTGGCTTGGCAACAGCAATATGGACTACTCCTTTGGGAGCACCCTTCAAAGCTTGCACAGCTTGGTCTAATGACGCATTCTCCAAACAAATATCATTCACTCTAAGTAAACGATCTCCAGGTATCAAACGACCATCATTTTGGGCCACTCCGCCAGGTACCAATGAACGAATTACAATAACTGTTTCACTTGGATTCATGGGATCCTACAAAAGTTAAAAATTATATATTATAAAGAAAATATCAAGAATTAGGTAATTTAATATATACTTGATAATCTAAAATTGAAAATCCAAGGCCACGTTCTCCTTTCATAAGCTCGATGAGTTGAGGCTGTGAAGACCACATAGCTAATCCAGTAAGAGGTTCAAGAGATCGAGAACGCAATCTACTAGATTCTGAACACCCTGCTGTTCCAGTACTAGCCAATGATCCATCTGATTTTGCTTTTACCAAACGATCAGTAGCAGGCATTAAATTTTGAAGACTACCACCCAATGCATTCTATAAAAAAACATAAATATATAAACACCAATTTAAGATAAACACAGAAAGGCTAATCTGTATTTTTTAATTTATTCTTACTTTAGCTGCAAAAGCGGCTCGATCCTCAGTAATGTCAGTAAGATAATGGTGAGGCAATTGTTGTTCATCAGTGCGTCTAGCACAAATCATTCTGACATTAATAGGCAACTCTTTCAAAATAGCAACCACTTCCATATGGTTTCTACCCAATAACCGGTGCCCATTTACTTCAAGCAACTCATCGCCAGATTGAAGACTTGCATTTTTTCCCACTGGTCCTTCGGGTAAAACTGATCGTATATAATGATGTGGCCTCACTTCCATGCCATTTTCTACATCTACAGTACCTTCCAAGCTTATACCTAAGCCACCGCCTTCACTAAACTTTTTCAACTGACCTACCTAATAAATAAATATAAATGATTTAATTTACAAAACATCTTTATTTAGCTATAAAAATGAATTTAAATGTATCTTCTTAATTTAACTTACAACAATATCTACATTATTTCCAATAACATCAGTCCATTTGTTTTTAATCTTTTTCAATGTTTCTGGTTTAAGTTCTCCATCAAGAGAAGAATTTCCCACGGAATCAGTTTCTTCAGCTATTTCATCTTCTACTTCACCAAGCATATCAGCCTCTACTGTTGCTCCTGATTCACCTTCTACTTCAATTTCTGCTGTACTTTCTCCATCCTTAAATGAGAAAAATAGATTTTAAAATTTAGTAAAATTATAATTAGTTTCAATAATATAACTAAAACTTACAGTTATTGGAAATCTAGGCAATGACATTATAGATGGTGATGCAGTTGCACTATTTGTGTTTGGCTTCATTTCTGATGCTGCTATGGCTACTTGTAGCTGTTCAAATTTAGGGCCCCGTAAATAACGTTCTAAACGCAATGTTACCATTTGTCCTGTAGATCTCAAAACTTCAACTGCCTCATGATTAGTAAATCCTTGCAATGAAGTTCCATCAACTTCAACAATGCGGTCATTCACCTGAATTTTTTTACATAGATCAGCAGCACTACCTTCACTGATGCTTTTCACAAATATACCAGATAATTCTTCTACATTTAAAAAAAAAATTAAAAATTAAAACAAACAAAATACATATATATAATTATAAAAAAATATTAACCAATACATACCTTTTTCACAAACATACCCTGCTATAGTTATTCCTAAACCATGAGTATCTTTTTTTAATTGCACACTAAATGAATCAGTTTCTGGGAGAGTTGTAATACTATCTGGTGGTACCATATCCATTGTAAGAACAGGTAATGAGGCAGGTATAATATTATCACTGATTATCATATTATTTTCCTAGAGAAAACAAAATGAATTAATAATTATATGACTTTAAATTAATTTTAGACCTTTACATTTGAAATATTTTGGAAAAAATAATCAGGAGTATATGTTGCAACTTCTGGATACCCATGCTGAACTAAATGACGATCAAGCTCATCTGCATCTCCTAACAACTTTGTTGGTACAATTGGTGCTCTACAGCTTAAATTCTGTAAAAATATTATTTATTATTATTTAATAGATAAGCCATGATATCTAGGCCATTAGTCTTAATATTATTAATTATTATAGAATACATAAAATATATAATAGATTTTTAGTATACATAATCTGCCTGCTATTTTTTTATTATTATAAACATTGTTATAATTTTTTAGTTATAAGAAAAAACTTTAAGTCATGATTTAAGAAATTATTAAATCAATTTTGAACAATTAAGAACTCACTTATTTTAAATAAAAAATAAATAAAATACATACTTTTCATTTTATAATATGAGTACAATATTGAATAAGTATAATTTACAATAGTTTTTTAATGAAAAATTCAAACTAATTAAATGTTTTAGTATATTAAATATATAATATTGAAATTAATATTTATTTTACACAAATTTTCAAATGAGAACAATTAAAGTAATTTATTTTAAAATTTAACTATTCAAAATACTTTACTTGAATTATATCAATTGCACTAGATTCTATTGGACGAGCTACTACCAATCTAACTTGACTCCCAGATTGTCGAAGCACTGCTGCAACCTGTTCACTTCCCATACCTCTTAAATTTACTTCGCCTATTTGTAGTATATGATCACCACTTTGTAATCGTCCATCCTAAAATGATATTTGTTATATTATTTTAATTCAATATTAATTCATTATTATTATATACTCTATCAGCCACTCCTCCTGGAAGTATAGTTTTAACAACAACACCAGTGCTACGACCACCTATAATACCAAATCCCAATCCAGATCCATCATTGAGTAGCTCAATTACTTCAACTTGAGCCCAATCTGTGTTCAACTGTAATAATAATGTTATATTTTAAACATAACAATCTTAAAATAAATATTTAATGTATAATAAAAATATATTAATAAAGCACTTTTAAAATCCACAAAACAATTAGATTAAGACAACTATTGCCAACTGTTATAGTTTGTTAATTATGTTTAAAACATTAAATTATGAAAAAACTTTACCATGTTACTGGAAGGCTGTGATGTTGGTAAAGGAGGTGGTGTAAGAGGGCGCGCTACGACCAACTGAACAAGCCCACGAGCCTGTTGCAGTATTCCAATAGCTTGCTGATGAGACACATTTGTGTCCAATGGTTGCCCATCGATAGCAATAATCTGGTCACCTTCATGAAGCCCTCCTTCTCTACATTTTAAAAAATACAATTTAAATAGTTTATTATTTTAATGACACAAAGTAAAATGCATATTATTTGAGAATATTTTTTATTCATACAAATATATGAAATGTAAAATATATAATTTGACTTCATTAAAGTATGATATAAACACTTAAAAAGAAAGCATTAGGTGCTCAAGTCAAAATTTTAAATTTAGTATAAAAATATAATATAATAATAAAAAAATAATTATTATTATTATTTCTTAATATGACATTTATACCAAACATCAATTAACAAATAGATATACCTAAATTGGATAATAATATTAAATTATAAAATTTGTATAATTAATAAATCACTTTAGGATGGATTAAACGTCTCCAATAGAGATGGAATTTATGAACTTTAAAAGATAAATATGATTAGTTAAATTTACGAAACAAATAAGACAAATAATATTTAATTAATTATTAATTTATAAATATACTTAAGCTATAACCTATATTTTATAATAAAAAATATAAGCATTTCTTTGAAAGTGCCTCTAATAAAAAATTCTTATTTGTTTAAACACAAAATTTTCTTATTTTAACTATGAAAAAAATTAACAATTGGGTATTACAAGAGTATTTAAAATATTAATCTAATCCAATATTTTTGACGTAATAAAGAATAGTTCATATTATAACAACAATACGTAGTTAAAATATTTCAATTTTTATATTGTGCGACTATTTGAATTAAAATTAAATATTTAATTATTTTACATGATAAAAATATACTAAAATAATTAAAAATTGACAATTTATTTACAAATATGAAATACCAACTATAAAGGTATGCGCATAGATTACTGGTTTACATAATAACCAATATAAATAACAAATTGATATGATATTTTTTTTATTTTTCAAGCATTTCAATAAAAAGTTATTAAATTTATTGATTCAAAACGAACATAATACTAAATGGTAGGTACATTAAATTTAATAACATAACAGAATAATAATGAGCATTCAGGAACTTTATAGCAATGTATTTTCTGTAATTGTTTCATATTGACTTTTTGTGCGTCATATTAAATTTTGAGGGCGATTTGTTAGTCAGAACTTACCGCCTGCCGATGCGTAGAGAAAAGCCCGTCAACGGTGCACCATTTTTGTTTGGCGATAGTAAACGTTGAACTTATAGTCGTCATATTTCCAGATTTTTATCGAATCAATGCGACGAGCGTGCGGAACCACGAATCGTTTAACGAGTAATCGCGTAAGCTCGGCGACGGTGTGCGTTTCGTTTGAATGTGGTAAACATGCCGATTACCGAGGTAATGTTTCAGGAAGAAAATAACAAAAAGTTCGTTGGAAAGAAATTTAGGGAGCACAACGAGCGTATTGAACCCGAACGCAAAAGCGTAATGACTGGCAGGTTACCTCGACTTACCGCGCGACCCACTATTTGTGACTGCGCGCAACCGACTACCAAGGGCCTGCGTCATGCGTGTGAAGTGTCTTTATATATTTCGAGTACTGTGGGGGGTCGGTAGATCTATAAATACGCCGACGACGGGCGCCCGGTGGTTCCTTTCCCGTATGCTACACAAACGACCAACCCCGACCCCCCCCCCCACCCCAGTAAAAATTATATACATAATAGTTGAATAAATATATGCGATATAATAATAAATATATATTACCCATGGTTATATACGCGAATTAAAATATTACGATTTTATACGTTTATTTTTTTCATATTGTCAACGGAAGTTCATTTTATTCCGCGGGTTTAAATACTATTTCGTTACGGGGCGGAACTCGAATGTTTTACGCAGTATACTATGATTAATATTTTACGATTTTAAATTGGTTAATGAAACAAATCAAATACCTACAACTTAAAATACTCATAAATACAAATTATTGTATCATACAATATTAAAACATTATCCGAATACCTTCATACAAAGTTTTCTTTTATAATTTAAACTTTTTTATAACAAGAAAACAAATATTATTACAATTGATTTAAATCAAGCATAGAAAATATAATCGCTTATAAAAAAAAAAAAAATACACGAAATTATACTGATTATTGAATGCTGAAAAAAAATTAAATACTAGTTTATGTATAAGTCATAGAACTCATAAACATTTGGCATTTTTCCTAAACCCTAAGTAATAATAAAAAGAAAAACAAGCTATGAGCTATAACCAATGTCACCTTAGATATTTGTATTTATTTTTATTTAGAATACTGTAAAATGGTATATTCAATAAATTACTAAATGTTAGATATATTTTCTAAATAATTGAATATAAAATTGTGATTAGATAACTAATATTAAAAAATAAATAATTATGTTAAGCTTCCATGAAGCAATATTATAAATTAAATGTTGATAGATATATTTTAATGTATGTTTAATAGAAGTTATTTTTTTTAACTATTATTTGAAAAAATACTGTCAATATCTTAATCATTTCCATACATTATTTATCAAGTTTATTTTTAATCACATAAGGATATATAGAAAACCAAATTTCCATCAGGCTGTACCATGTTTTTTCATGAGTAATTAATAGTTGTTGTCATTAAAAACAATACTATTTTTAACGTAGCTGAGTTAGTTAATATTGAATAGATTTTATATCTATTATTACTAAAATATAATTGTAGATTGTAGTTAATGCTTATTAGAAATAAAAAACTTACCGTGCAGCAATTCCATTTTGTTGAATTTCTTGGACAAATATTCCAAGTTCTCCTTTTTCTTCACTTCTTAGGCCAACTACACTAAAACCCAAACTGCAACCTTCAGGTTTATAGAGCTGAAAAATATAATTATCATAATGTACCTATTTATGTATATCAATTATAAATTATAATATTTAAAAATGTAAAATAATTATTGAATTAATTTATGAATCGTCCTTTAAATTGATTAAAATTATAAAATATCAATAATTTTTAACACAAATTATAAATAATTGAATAATTAAAATAGTTAATAAGTTATAACTGTTAGGTATTTTAAGTTTAAAATGGAAGAGTGAAGTAGTACAAGAGTATACCACAAGATATACTAATTAACTTCTTATTAAAATTTTGAACACAGTATTGAAAAATCACAGAAAATATTCTGATTCAGAATATGAAATTATAAATAAATATTGACATCAAAATATTAACAGTAATGATAAAAATATATTTAAAAAAAAAAAAAAAAATGTTTTTATTTAATGTTGTCAAATTATGTAAAAAAATATTTTTAAAAATTTAAATATTTAAATAATAATAAATTTACAACAATAAATAAATTACCATCTATAATATGAATAATATAACTAAAATATTTATTGTTGAAATGAGTTATAAACTATTTTCTGCACAATTAAATATAAAGGTTTTTTAATTATTCTGTAAGACTTAAGAAGAATATTATTTCAATTTGATAAAATCTTTACTAAAATAAAATTATGTGTACTGAGTAGGAAAATCAAAAGTTATTCACATATTTTTCTAAAAAAATGAAATTCCTACTTGACCTTATTATATGCATTAACAAATAATTGTGTTTAAATTATAATTTAGTAATGTTAATATTAAGCATACTTGAACATTATGTATTTTACGTCCTCTAGATGCTTCTTCAACTGCTTTTTGAAATTCAACTGCATAAGATGGAGTTGTTATTGGTAGTAAAGTAGATGATATATCTTTTATTAAGGATTTACTTTCCTAAAATATAAAACAAAAAACTATAAATAAAGTTACATTAACATGAAAATATAATTTATGTATAAAAAAAAATTATTATTTATTTAAAACTAAATGAAATAATATTTGTAAATTCTATTATATACTCTATTCCAAATAAGAAACATACTAAGAGAACATTGATTTACCAAAAGTATGATGTAAGTATAATGTAAAATATAAATGTGCATACTGCATAAATCATGCCAAATTTAATTTTCAACTCTATTATAAAACTCCAAATTTTTATATCTACCCATTGGTAAATCCAAAGTTTGATTACAAAAATATTTCTACCCCAACCATATTTATAATTTCACTACATAATTCAAATTAATGATTTGAAAAAAAAAATTGAAAATATCAAATAAATAACACAAGTTATTTAATATTACAGGACCTCGTTTTAAATTTTATATAAATATATTAATACATATTAAATCTTAATTAAAAACTTAAAAAATTATTAAAAAAAAAAAAAATATTGAACTATTTTGACTGGAAATTATGTAAAAAAAAATATTTTCAAAAACATTAATTAAATTTGAAATAATGAATATTGTTCAGTAAAAAATTGGCCTGTATACATTGTATATTTAATCAATAACTTATATTATAATTATTATACATAAATTGTATACAATATATAAAATTATAAATATTAATTAAAATAATAAAAATAAACAAAAATGCACCTTTGATGAAGGAGAAGAACTTCCTGCAGATGAACTATTTGAAAGTTTAGGAACTCTTTGATCAGAATCTAAATCTTCTGGGACACTATGGTAAGGAGTAGAATCAGCTGGCAAACTCAATACTAATTGACCAGTAACAGGCGATATATCAAAATCAACTGGTAATAATGATGGATGTTCTTGAAGTTGACAACTCAATTCAGATACAGAATCCTATAATAATAAATTATTATAAAAATAAATTAATTGATTTAACAATAGAGATTATTTTTTACCTGAACAGATGCAATTGTTTTTATTATTGGGTTTTGAAATACTGATATTAAGAGTTGAAGATCATTATTGGTATTTGTTTTTAATTTATCATCACCTGATTCATTGACCAAAGATTTTATTTCAGTCAAAATAGACAATGCTGCAGACATATCTGTAAATTAAAAAAAAATTATAGATATAATGAAGGTAAATAAACTCTAATTTAAAAAGGTTTATACTAAATATAAACATTTATACTTCATAAATTATAATTTACAATCCATACTTGATTTTTAAAATAGAAAATTATCTTTAACTACATTTGAATTACCTGTATAAAGAGACATTTTAATAAAATAATCTATTTTTTCTTGATAGAATATGTAATTTAAATGATGCAATCCTGTAAACAAAATGTAATTTATAATTATTGTCAAAATATTTAATAAATTAATAAAAAAATATAATGATAACACACCTTAAATTTTAAATATATTGTTTAAAATAATGTGTGTATATATGAATTTAAAACGTATACATGCATAAATATATACAAAAAAAATTTATCTGGAAGCTATTAGAATAATATTTTTGTATAAAATATTTAAAATATATAATAAATATGAATAGTAAATACAAATAAATATAAGGTCTAAGTATTAAACTGAGATTTGTTTAGAAAAACAAAATACATAATTTATTACTATAACATAATATTACCAAGATAATAAGTAAAACTTACATTAGATTTTTGAATTCCCTAACTGGCTTTTAAAATAAGTAACAAGTAGCGTTAATCCAAATAAATTATAATTTATATGCTGTACCAGATTAATTTTAAAGAATCAGTTCATAATTTACTTAGACACCACATCTACATGTCTTGGCTGTCTTGCAAACATACTATAAAGCAAATTTATGTTCAGCACAATATAATTTACTAGCTTTAATAATTAAATGAACTAATCTATTTTTAAATTTAAAAATAAGAATATTATCAGTTTTTGTAATTGTTTTTTTTACAATATTTTAATTTTTAAGCGAGTTATGAGCATTTTCATTTAAAAATATTTTACTTTCATCTCATTAAGAAATTTAGATATTTAAAAAAAACCCATCATACAAGGATAGTATCTTATCTTTAATTTTACCTTAAACTTGGATATTAAAGCTAATAAGTAATGAGTAACATTATAATAACAACATTGATTCTGTAGAACATGTATCTGCTGTTGTGCATTTGTAGAATGGATATAACACATATAAATGTAGTGTCTTCTTAATAAATATTATATGTCATTAAATATGATTGTATAATACGCAATATATATATTGTATACCTACACTTTTCTATTCTATAATTTTGATATTTTAAATGAAAATTCTTTAAAATTTAAATTCAAAATTGTTTTACTTACTAGTTTATTGATAATTAATTAACAGCAGTTTTGAAATATACATAAGAACACTTATTTTTGATTAATTTCAGTTGACCAAATGTGTTAATTAATACAAAGCAATAAAGTAATAGGTATTCAATTATTTTCAATATTAACACATACGATTCAATGATTAGTAATATAATCTTACATAGAACATTAGCTTAATTTACTTAACAAATTAGAATGAATAACTACTAACGACTTATAAACGAATAGTAATTGGTAAAAATATACCTAATCAATAATTATTAATTAATAAATATTATGTTGAACTTGGACGATCGCGTCTTAAATATGATACTAGGATTATCTGAATGTTTCGTTCTGTTTCTGTTATGATAAAATGAAAATGTACTAAGCACAGAAGAATTTTAATGGATCTACAGTGTAGCCAAATTATGTTATAAGTTTTTCGCACATTTATTTTTTAATACGGGCGTATAAATTGTATAATATAATATTGTCTTATTGTCTCGGACATCTATATTCTAATATTCTATTATACTGTCTATGCTATACTAGATTTGTACATTCTTAAGCATTATTACTGACATTAGTGACATTATTATATTGTTATATTATTATAATATCATCATGTTAATATTGTCAAATTACTGTTTCTGTAAATATCTAAAGATAGCCTTCATAGGATAGGGATGTCATATTATAATAAAATTAAAAAATATATATATTTGTGTCTTATAGTGTTATAATTTATTGTAATAACTAAAATGATTTTATCTCTAGTTTACGTACATTTTTCTTTTCTTTTTTTTTAAAAAAGATTAAAAGCGATATTTTTATATAAAAACTAAAAAAATTATTTACATTGCTTTGGTGCAGTTACAGTCTATTTTCAGTTATGAAATAATGTTCTGGAGTTATAGGTACTTTAATATACAACTTGGAAAATTTAAAGTCACAATAGACAGTATAATTAAATTTTTATTGAGCAAACCCGAGTCTTTAGAGTACAAAGCTTATTTTTGATAAGCTTAATGTGTAATCCTTTGATAAGATATTTTATACTAATGTGTTATTATTCATTACTATTGTATAAACAAAACTCCTTTATATGTAATTGTATAAAAATTAAAAGTTATTGTTTATGGTACAATGTACACAATACTCTTTAAAATACATAAGATCCTCAAACCAAAGTCTTAAAAAAAAAAACATTTAAAAATTCCAAGAATAGGTACACAAATTCTATAGGTAGGTAGTATAGGTACTAAAGAATAAAAGAAAAATTATTGCTTGTAGATAATTTTATTAAGTAAGTACCTATATATCACAACAGTATTAAGAATTTTTTTTTTCATCCAGATAATTATACAGTCGGTATTGAATCATAAATATGTTTTGTTTTTTTAACCTACCAGATAAAAAAATTATAGATATATTCGAATTGGTCGCGAAGCTAACCTACCTTAAACTTATAGGCCGTATGATATTTTGACATTTTCCATTTCCCCTACCCGCTGGAAAAAATGTATTAAATTTTTTTTTTATTTTAACTATTTACTGGACACTATTACTTATTAGGTACATTAAAGTGATACCTAATATCTTATATCGGTATTTTGTAGTTAAAATGTAAATTGTGTCTAAAATATAAATATACTAAACTGAAAATTGTTTTTAGTTAATAAAAAAATATATTTTAGAAATTCGTATTATTGTTAAAGATTTTTTTTACATCATGATTATATTTTTTTGTTTATATATATATAGCTATAGGTATTTCATTAAAATAAAATACATGTTAAATTTTAATTTTTACATGTGTTAATTTAAAAAATAATAATACCTGTGGTTTATGTAATTATAAAAAAAAAATATTTTATTTTTACCGAACACTTTTTATCCTTACACTTCTATTTCATCAGACATTTTTTCCTGGGTTTTTAAGTAGATAACCAGATTACCACGCCACTGTTTTGTTTGTAACATACCTACCTACTCATACTATTTCTGAATACAAGTAAATTTCATTAATCTATAGCTTCGACTTTACAAAGTATTATTGCCAAGCCATGATTAATTGTTACTTATAAGTTATAAGTTATAACATGTTAGTAAGAGAGTTTGTAGAAATGATTAATCTTGTTTCGTTGATTTTATATTAAAAAAAAATCATTTTCACTACCTGTACATTTTATTGTAGTACCTATTGAATTATTGTTATATTTTATTACATAAACTTCTTACATTTATATACCTACGTATTTTTTGTCATTATAATGAATAATATGTTAAATAATTGTAAAGTAATTGTAAAATAGAAGACTTATATTTTTATAAGTACAAAACATATTTTAATTAGAAAATGTTTTAAATTATATAATATGCATAACTACATGAACAATAAAGAAAAAATACCAATCATTTTTTTTTTAATACATTAATTTGGTATATAAAGTATGATTTTAAGTTTATTTTTAGAATTTATAAATTAATATGCCTTTGATACACCTTCCTAAAATCAATTAAATCATGGACAGCGAAAAAACCTATCATATCTAGATCTAGTTTCTAGAACATCGCTTATAATTTATTTTGGATTTTCAATTTTAAATGCATAATATGTTTATGTATTTATTATGTAATACATATTTTAATTATTACTAAAATATAAAAATTTCTAGTACTTATTTATTTGACGCCTGACGGTACATAATGTAATTTTAAATGGAAAATCTATTATCATATTATATAGGTAGTTTTAATATGTGATATGTATAAATTTAAATTAAATATATTTTTTATAGTTAAATAATTACAAAATTTTAGGGAAGTCCCAAATTTATGTAACTTAATCAGCCTTCTTCCCTACACTAAATATAGCCCTGTATACATAAATGAAATTAAATTAATTTAGGATTTCTTATGTTCTATTCTCATGTTTAGCATGCTACATATTTTACTGGATATCTACATTATTACAATAATAATTAAATTGAAATAAAATATCATATTAATAGTATTGAATATACCTACAACAGAAAAAATATCACATAACTTGATAACATATTATTTTTAAATAAAAGTATACCTAAAAATTACAGGTTATCGAAATCAATTATGAATTACATATAGCAGATTATTTTATTATAGATATACTATTGTCTATACCGTCTATACTTAAAGCTATAATACATTTTTTTTTAATTTTATTTTAAAACAAACAATCTATAATTAAATTTACATTAAGCATGTATGCTGATGTATATAATAATTTGGCATACGACACGTGAAAAAAGAAGTCACGCAATAGCGACACTTTATAAAATAATTTTGTTTAATTTATAGAATTTTTTTTTTTTTCATTTAATTATGGTTGATATTACGACACCATCTTCTCTTTAGTCTGCGAGGAGGATTTCCAGGAATGGAGTCAAAATTTAGTGCTGATATTAGAGGATTTGGGTGGTTGGTTAGTCGTGAACGAAATCGTTTATAAAATAGTTTTGCAGTTTCGTCTACTGTGTTAATTCTTAAGTCGGTGTGAAGAGTGTGATTTGAGACATAGGATGGAGACTTTGTAATTATGCAAAGAGTTGTGGATTGGTAGGTTTGAATTTTGTTTGTATTTTATTTCTTGGCAGCCCCCCATAACTGGATACCATATGTCCATATGGGTATCAATAGAATTTTATAAATGAGTAGCTTTAATTTTATGTTCAGTTGAGAGTGTTTACCAATTAAGTAGGAGAGATATTTCAGTCTGGCGTTTAAGAGAATCCGTTTACTTTTAATATGGTGGGCCCAAGTTAGACATTGGCCTAGTATTAAGCCTAAATAGCGAGAGCTAGTAGCTTTAGGGATGACGTAATCATTTAAAGTGATAGGTGATACTATTATAAATAAGCATTAAATACTATATATATTATATATTTATACATATATCAGTACACAGGCGGAAA